GTCCAGACGCTTTTCTTTGCAAGCTCCTTTGACTACGATGACCTGGATGACTGAGAACCTTCACAGACATCTTACATGCTATGGATTTAATATAGAAGAAGAGTGCATTTAAATAAAGGAGGTAATGAACATTCACTGAACAGTTTGAAATAGCAGTAGTGACATAAATAACTTGGTAAAAAAGCAGGTGGAAGAACTGTCACATTCATTATTTCAAATAAGAAGTGGAAAGTTAGCAGGGAGCACATTCAAACTGGTTTATTTATGATCAAGAATTTAAAAAGCAGCACAACAGGGGCAGGACTAAACCAATTCAACCGATAGGTGGAGGCACAGCACGTAGTTTGAAGCTTTTATCATGAGGATGTGGTGATGAATTAACCCGACACTGCTACTGCTTCACAGTCTTAATCTCAGAGAACTACTCCTGTCACATCAGTGCCTGACGATGTCTTCATTGTATGCCTTTGGCTCTTTCTTCATCAGTCTTTACTGTAAGATGTCAAACTTCAGGTCTTTGTGAAAGTCTCTATTTTTTTATATACTTCTATGCCTAAACAGTCATGTTTAAAATATACATTTTTTAGAGGTAATTTTGTTGGATTTTGGATTTTTTTTTTTGTTTGGTTTGTTTTTTGTTTTTGCACAAATATATTTATTGTATTTCCTTTGCAGGTCAGGTGAGTGCTGTTACATTTCAGCAATCTCCTTCACAGATAGTGGCAGAGAAAAGTGAAGTCCAGATCGATTGCAGTCATAATGATGGGAACCTTCCTGTAATGCTCTGGTATCAGCATATAAAAGAAAATCAGTCTATGACCCTCATTGGGTATGGGTATCAAAATACCCGCCAAACATTTGAGGGTCAGTTTGAAGAACAATTCAAGTTGACAAGAGGAAGCGCAACAACAGGAACACTTACTATTCCAAGCGCAGAACTGTCACACTCTGCTGTTTACTTCTGCGCTGCCAGCACACAGTGATGTGGCTTAATGCCACTCCCTTACTAAAAGCATTTTTCCTACACCTGCAGGTGTGATGTGTCTCTTACAGACTTTCGCTGATAAAAACCGTGTTTAACCTGCAACAACACAAACTTGGAGGATGTCAGCTGTGATCGGGTTTCTTCTCATTTTCCTTTCAAGTAATTATTTCCAATCTTCCTCTACTTTTTACAACACTTATATGATGTTTAACATGACTTCTACATTAGCTTCTTTTAATATCTGCCTCTCTCCCCACGCAGGTCAAGCCAGCAGTGTGACCTTTCAACCATCTCATCCAAGAATAGTCAATGAAACATCCAATGTTGAAATTACATGCAGTCATGATAAAAATGACTTCTATCTAATGCTTTGGTACCAGCAAAAAGAAAATGGTTTAATGAGCCTCATAGGATACAGCTACTTCGGCAATGCCCCTGTCAAGGAAGAACAATTTGACAATCGCTTTGTGATTACAAGAGAAAATATCCAAACAGGAGCTCTGAGCATCAGCAGCTTGATTGTATCAGACTCAGCCATGTACTTCTGTGCTGCCAGCACACAGTGATGTGTTTTGGTGTAATGCCAATGCTAAAAACCTTGTTCTTTCTGAACCAGGCTGCTGAAATGTGCCTCAAAACAAATGTGTTTTTAGCCAAATTTTCAGTGGTTCCAACTCACAGTATCTTTGCTCCACATACACACCAGTGAGTCTGGGGTGCCCACTTCCTTTAACCAGTTTCGGAGACCCTCTGAGTTCATTGTTTACAGTTTGGTCCTTGTCAGCGTTTTTTAAAAATGTTTTTACACTTGCCAAGTACTTCTTTTTTACAACACATCAACTTCACTTGCTGACATATAATTAACTCTTTAACTGGTACATGTGGTACATCATCATTCTTATTCAATTTGCAGGCTACATGGTGTAAAAAGAACCAAACGTTTACCTTAAAAGGTGAAGCTGTAATTGTTAGCATAAACAGTCTAATGAAATAAACATAGCAGAAAAAGGGATTTCCCTGTTTATTCCATTCTGGTGTCATTTTTGAGTTTCTACTGTAGTTTATAACAGTCAAATTTATTAAAGTATATATGTGATCTTATAACTTTGTGTTTGTAATGTAACATAATGTGTGGCTTTAATTTGAACGTGTTAAAATAATACAACAACAGTTAAATAATATCCATTATAATTAACATGTTCAAAAAGGAGTTTTAAAGACAATGTGGTGATAATCTCATATCACAATATCATGTTTTGCTTCTGGCTTTAATCAAGTAAAAATAAGTTGATCAAAACCAGTCATCTTATAAGTTTGGCAGGTAAAATAATTTCATATAATTTAATATATATTTAATATATTTTTTTAATATAATTAAAATGTAGACACTAACTTTTTCTTATTTGCAATGATGTTGCATGATGCTGGGAACAAAAGATTAATGTCACAGCAGCACAGAATACTGGCAACATTTCAAAAAGAACAAAAATAAAGCAGTCGATCAAGAAGGAGGGTTATAGATGATACTTCTCAAATCATGTGATCATGTGATCTCAGCTCATGATGTCTTTTGCGTTGAATGTGGTGAGGTTTGCATCTGCTGTATCATTCCACTGAAGGCAGCTCATCACTAACATGGTTATAGCAGTTATTTATTTCTCATTATTTATTCACTCTGGTGGGTGCTCTGTGAATTTACTCACACTTTATTTACTATACTTACTATATAAGTGACAAATCTGAGTAAATTCACTTTTTTTTTCTCTGTTTTTTCTCTCATGGCTTCTAGGTCTGACTGTTGTTGTTCTTCAGTCTGAAGATCAAATGTCTGACCCAGGGAGAACAGTGACACTGGAGTGCAAAATGGGTTCAGGGTTCAGCATGAGCAGCTACACCATGCTCTGGTACAGACAGAACCACCACGGAGCTCCAGTCGACTACCTTTTAAATGAATATGATAAAACTGTGGGACGCTTAAAGTCATTTATCGATGCATCCAAAAACAACTTCTCTCTACAAATAACTGAGCTGCATATGAATGACAGCAGCACCTATTACTGTGCTGCCAGTCACAGTGATACACACAGACCAGACACTCATACAAATAGCAAGTGTGTCTGTCACACATCACATATAACAGGAAGGGGCTGTGGCTTGTTTGGTTTGATATTAATTTTTTATACAGATGGAGCAGTCTACAAATCTTCAAAGTTACACAGAACTGACCTAAAACAATTTGGTGCATTTACTTTTAATATCAGATAAAAGTTAATGACTAACACCAATTACCACTTGCACAAAGAATAAGCCAAAACATTTTAAAGTCACATGTCTAACTGTTACATCTGTGTGTCTGTGCACACCAAAAGAGTTTAGACCATACCGTATTTATTGGAAGCAATAGATTTGTTTGTAAATCAGAATTTTGCATCACCATCAGCCTCACATGCAGCTGCACAGTCAATCCAATAAAGGATGAAGACCGCTGGTTTGAGGTTTAGTAAAATTGTGAAAAGAGCAAACAAATCTTCAGAAAAGTAAGAAAAAAACAAACCTAAGAGAATAATCAGAATCAGAATCTCTGGAGAAAGGAAATTAAGCTGCAGTTGGCTTGGTGGCCACTGGGAGACTGCTGCTGTAAAAAGGAACCCCTTCAGATTGTTTGTATGAAAAACTGTGGGATGTTCATCTTGAAGCTTTAACTGCAGCAGCTTAATAAGTTGCATCAGTGCTGTGCCTGCTCAGCCTGTAAGAAATTTAAATGCAGAAAGACATATTTTTATTTGTCATATTATAATCAATGTGAACATGAATTTCCTCTTTTTTGTGCTTTTGATATTCACTGGTAAGAACATTTATACTCATATTACATAACTATAATATCTCTGGAAATTCTTCATCATATTTTTTCACTTAATTTGTTGACTCGCCTTTGTGTCTTTGTTTCCAGATTTCTCCCGGGGTGTTAAAATTGATCAGCTTCAAATTATTTTCAGTCGTGAAGGAACCAAAAATGTGACCCTGGATTGTAAACAAGATGATAGTCAATATTACTACATGTACTGGTACAGACAAAGCAGCAGTGGGAAACTGGAGTTAGTGACATTTTCTCCTGGTCAAAATTCCTGGAACATTGAAGCTCCTTTTGAAAAAATAAAGTACACCATGTCTCGGCCTTCCGTGCTTGAATCTACCCTGCAGATACACCCTGTTGATCCTGAAGACACGGCTCTGTATTACTGTGCTTCCAGAATAGCACAGTGGTTAAGAAAGCATCTGCAGCTAAACAACAACCTCACAGGAAGAAGAAACTGGAAGATAAGAGGAAGATGGATAAATCTGAAAGCTGATGTGTTTAACTCTAAGAGCCCCATAAAATAAGTATCAGGACTACATGACATAAAAGGAAACAATAATTGTTATAAAAGCAAATAAAGCACATTTATCTTATATATGAAGTATAAGAACTGTCTCTGCAAAGTTCAGTCATGTCTGTGCATCACCACAAAGCTGATCTGTTCAGATAAGTGAGCAGGTGTTGGTACTCAGTATATGACTACTTTAGTTAACTGTAACATTTGCAGTGTAAATTATAATGATTTAATACTGGAGTGTTATTACTGATAAATCTACCCAGATGTTTGAAATTGGCAATAACAGAATATCCAGAATATAATGACTTTGACAGTTTTCCACTTGATTAATTCTGGTCAAAAACACTTTATGCCACCAGAACAACTATGACCTATCAAGGTTTGGACTCCCCAATATCTCTGCTGGTGTCTAATAGTATCAGGCAGATCCTTTCAGTTCTGTCAGTTGTGAGGTGGGTCTTCCACTGATTGTTGTTCCAGGGGTCAGCATAAGAAGTCTGTCATTTCACTGTCATTTCAATAATACAAGTTTTCACTTGTATTATTATTTTGAAAGAGATCTGTTTTGGTTTTGTTTTGGTTTTTGTCTCTGCCTGAAATACATGCATTTAATTTTTATTCTGCTTTCTCCACATTTCGGCAATCTCCTCACCAAACAGTGGCACCGAAAAGTAAAGTCCAGATTGACTGCAGTCATAATGATGAGAACCTTACTCTAATGCTCTGGTACCAGTATATATAACAGAATAAGTCTATGGCCCTCACTGAGTATGGATATCAAAATGCAAGAGGGAACTTATCATTCAAAGAGCAGAACTGTCACACTCTGCTGTTTACTTCTGCGCTGCCAGCACACAGCGATGTGGCTTAATGCCACTCCCTTACTAAAAGCATTTTTTCCTATAAGCTCATGAGTGACGTGACTCTTTTCACAGACCTTTGCTGAACGAAGCCGTGTTTATCCTACAACAGCACAAACTTGGAGGATGTCAGCTGTGATCGGGTTTCTTCTCATCTTCCTTTCAAGTAATTATTTCCAATCTTCCTCTACTTTTTACAACACTTATACGATGTTTAACATGACTTCTACATTAGCTTCTTTTAACATGTGGCTTCTCCCCCACACAGATCAAGCCAGCAGTGTGATCTTTCAGCCATCTCACCCAAGAATAGTCACTGAAACAGCCAATGTTAAAATTGCATGCAGTCATGATGATAATGGCCTCAATTTAATGCTTTGGTACCAGCAAAAAGAAAATGGCTTAATGAGCTTCATAGGATACAGCTACATAGGCAGTGTCGCTGTCATTGAGGAGCAGTTTGAAAATCACTTTGAGATTACAAGAGAAAATATCCAAACAGGAGCTCTGAGCATCAGCAGCGTGATTGTATCAGACTCAGCTGTGTACTTCTGTGCTGCCAGCACACAGTGATGTGTTTTGGTGTAACGTCAATGCTAGAAACCTTGTTCTTACTGCTCTAGGCTGATGGAATATGCCTCAAAACAAATGACTGATTTGGCTTTAACAACAAGGTGTAGTTTTTAATGGGTGGAGAATAATATATTTTCTTTCCTTTTAGGGCACAAAAACTAAAAAAAAATACACTAAAATGCCGCTGTCTATTTCTAAGTAGCTACTACAATAAAAGGAGGTGGAACTCTTCATTTAGGGTGAATTATGATTTCACTTTTCA